CTTGGCTGTTACTTATTGCCTGATACTTCAAGGTCCCATATCCATATGCAGTATCTACCATTACTTGAGCACATAGAGAATTTTGCCCATTACTCTTTAGGTTCGGCGGTATTGGAATATCTGTATAGAGAGTTGAACCTAGCCACACGGCCTTCCCGAATGTACATAGCCGGATGCCTTCCCCTATTGCAGGTATGGGCTTGAGAGAGGATACATGTTGGTACGCCAACACTTCGAGTTCCATACCCGCGGGATATCATCGGAAAGCCCCTTGCTTTAAGTTAATTTTGCATTCACTTAACACTCTTTAAAATGAATAATTTAACTAACACAAACTTATTATAGGTGTGCTGAAGAAAGAGTTCAAGAAGTTCCAATTGGAAACATAATGACCTACAGATATGAGTTGGATGGACTTCAGCTAAGCCAGGTATCTATAATTAAAATTAAGTATATCATAATAGTTAATATTAATCAGGAACTTCTTCTCTCAATGCAGGCAAAATTTATGCCTTACTCGGAATCTATAATGGGCATGATGCCTCCAATATAAAATGAAGCAAACAACCTATGGACGGCTCATGTCCCATTGATTAGCTGAAAACGTGTCGAGTGGCATTTGCCTGACAGGGTGATGCGACAATTTGGAGGCATACAATCTCGCACGATTGAACCCATTGAGCGAGAATTTCGTCGGGTTGATGGTAGAGGTCGAGCTGAGGTAGATTGACTTCATTATCACAGAAAATATATTGAGTTGTGGAATAATAGACAAGCGCTAATTACAACCATCAGGCAGCCATTGGGAGATGGTATGAAGTATTTATCAGATTATTTACAATGGTACAAATCATGGGTCTCCATCTACTTATTGAAAGCACCAATAAATCCACCAGAAACAATTTACTCACGGTCACCGGGGGAGAGGATAGTGGTATATGTATAGATGTAAATGTGACTTAATATACAAGTATATTATATTATACTTAATAATAAATTCGCATTTATAGGTCGATTACTTCTTGCATAGTAAAGACAATGCTGAGTCATATGCTACGGGTCAGATAGAGAGTGGAGGGTCAATGAATCAAGGATATGCTGATATTTTCGAACTTGCAAGACAAGTGGAGCAATCTGTGTATATAGATACCACTGGCCAACAACCTAGACGAGGAGGACGAACTTCACAGTGGAGCAGCCTACTAGGAGATCTATATCTCATGCTTTAAGATTAAAGTCAAATCTTGTAGACCCGCCGAGACATTCCATGTACGTAGGATCAGCTGATTCTGCTAGACCTTTCGGAATGACGGGAGCAGGCCCTTCTATAATACGTGGTGAAGGGAGTTCATCTCAAATAAGAGGAGAGCAGTGGACAATTCCATAATCACAATGGGTCGGTACTACATCTTCGTATGGGCTACAAGATCCATATAATTTGAATAATCTCATGTGGATGATCCTATTTGGCTGGCCCATAACTCTTGCCCAGCATAGAATGGTTATGGAACAAGTACAACCTGATATTGACACTGCACAGGAGGAAGTGTAGCATGAACAAGAAGAAGAACCACAGCTCCAGAGAAGTAGGCGGGAACCCTCAAGATACACGCCTGGTACAAATGCTCTCAAATCTAGAAAGAAGAGGCAGTAGAAATTCAAGAATACTTACTGATGTATTATGTTTGAACTTTCATATGTAACTATTTCAAATTATGTAATATATTCTTCATAATGGGTTCAAAAATTTGTTATATATTTTGGTTCTTTTAATTTGATATTATAAAGGACTATTATTATCTACCGAACCTGAAGAGACAAAAAAAATTATGTTTTAAGATAACATGAAAAAATATTTTATTTCATAATTTAACTTTTTGTAAATCTAACACCTCAGCTATAATACTCAACAAAGCACAAAATCGCTATGGATGCCTTCCTAGATGATTACACCAAAAGAAGGATTGTAAGTGGAATTAGCCACTTGCGTGAGAGTTTATCTTTTCCGACTGATGAGATCCTCGAAGCCAAGGTATCATCAAATTAACTATTCAGATGTGTTTTGCATAGTTGGGGGGAAGATCAGGATTGCATACTATGGTTTGAGAATCAGAAGGTGAAACAAAATAAGGTATATCGGGCTGGCTTTGAACTTCAAGACGTGGGTTGGAAAAATCTACAACAATGAATTGGCCACATTGTATCAACAGATTTTCTGAAGGCTCGAATTCTTGAACTTGATGTTGATAAAGAATGTACAGTTGAACTGGGAATGGGAAGGTTGATGCTTGATTTAGACCATTGCATTCTATATTGTTACTGGTGTGATGATCATGATAAAATGTTATTAAATATTATAAAATGTTGTTGCAATGTTTGAAGATGGTAAACAGAATGATTTTTTAAATGGAAAAGACTGGCAGCATATACAATCAGAATTTATTATCAGATTCAGATGTTGTCCTACACAAACTCAGCTGCAAGGTCGCCTACGATTCATACTAAACAATATGTAACAAAAAGAGTTATGTATTTTTAGCTACATATTATTATCAAGACTTTTTTATGTATTGTAACTCAACTTCTAATTTCTTTTATTAATAAGACTTTTTCTGCTCCGTTCCTTTTTTTATTAGTCAATTTTATTTAATATTTAATTTCTAATAGCAACTTAACTTGCATTTCCTAAATATATCATATTTACATTTATGTACATGTCCTTCTCCGAAGAACTTAGTACTAAATCAAGTTAATATTTAGCATATAATGTCATCGTCATCAAGGTCCTCATCATTAAAGCTCTCACCATCAAGGGATTTCCTTCATATATTATTTAAATTATTTTTACATAACATTAGTTAACATATAATTATAAAATGTTTTTATAAAGAATACTAACGTTATATTTTTTATAATGGAATTATATTTATTTAAAGTTTTTTAATTTAAATTGTTATAATGATGTTATAATTATATAATTTTCATAATAAATTTATTTTAAATATTGTCTTAGATATATTATTAAATAAATTAATATTATATATTTAATTATTATTAAATGCATAGAGAATGTGGGGGAGAGAGGCATAGAGGTAGAGGTACAGAGAGTTTGTTAATTTTTATTTTTAAATAAATTTATTTTATACTAATTTTCAAAACATTTCTCATAATTTTAACTTATTTTTAATTTTAATTAAAATTATAGCGGGACTTTTTTGGTTTATTAATGAGAATTATTGGGGGGTTTCTCTGCATCTGCATCATTCTCATTAACGCAACTGTCCCAATAGTTTAAATAAATATTTCTTAGCATTAAAGACACACAGAGTAATGAGAAATATAATATAGAAATATGAATAACTTTATTTATATATAAATAATTAAATATATGAAATTAGAAATAAGCATATTTTAAGCTATTTGATTTAATTAAATATTATAATTCTTCTCTAGTGCAATTTATTGATTTTAAATTAC